GTCCCGTCGTAAGCTAAGAATGAAAGTGTGCTACGGTAATTCAACAAGACATATTTGACGTTCAAGTTGGTATACTTACAATCGCGAACTCGGCGAGTTCCTCAATTTTAAGTACGCCCCGAACCTTGGGCGTGATGTCGTTTCATTTTGTATCACCAATTCTATATGAAGTGTATTATATATCGTAAAGGGGAGCGTAAATTGACCCCCGGATTTGAGCGCGCTCTTTTGTTGGACGTGCAATGCAGCAACGACGTGTTAGTTGTTGCGGTTACAAGTAACAGTGTAATGATGTAATGCCCTCACGAATGAAGCAAAATAATTGTGATCAAATGACCTGGATATTGACTTAATTCAAATGTTTTATGTGGTACCTTAATCCACCTTTATCATTGCGTAGATAGTCACGATTCGATTTTAATATGACACATCTCTAGATACCTGGCTTTAAGCGCTTAGGTCACTTACGCGACACTTCAGAAATGCATGTATGTGCTAAAGAGAAACCGTTAAGAACAATTTCGTCAAATAAAAATTGGATAGGCATTTTACTGATCTACATGGTATGCGAAGTCATGAGCTCTGACGTAAATAATTCAATAACTACCTGTGATCATCTAAATAGCCGGGAACTGGTAAGCTTTGGTGAATACCAGGCAAACTTTTCCCGCGTTTACTTTTTACAGTCAAAGGTAACTTTGACATTTAGATTAATGCGATTGGTTGAGCTCCGGTCGCTATTTGGATTGCACGAACTTACGTGATGCACACAGATGGTGGAGGTGTCTACACTACTATGGACTTCTTTTGCCTTGCCCCGATTTCCTTTGGTTAATTAATGAAGTCGCCTAACAGTTTGTGATAGAAACCGAAAAAGGCATCGATTTCTATTGAAAGTGATACAAAAAGTGGGTTTTGTATAAAACATACCGCATACCCTCTAGAAAGAAGAAGCCAATTTACGAATTTATCAAAAAAGTGAGTAGAGCCGAGTCAAATTTTGGTAGTAACTACTCACCAATTTCCTGAAGACAAGGCGCCCCTAATTTGTGAAATAGTAATTTTGAGTTGCACATGCCCTGTGCACAGAGAAGCAGAGACCAAATATGAATGCGAGCGAGGTATTCTGCCATCATTTTTGGAAATAAAATGATACAAGAGGTACAAAGTATACATTAAGAGCTATATTGGGGTTGTAGAAAGACAAGCTGTACTAACCATATAAGTTTGTTGTGGTAATACCATATTGCACGCATTTTGCACAACAAGCGGGTATTCATAGCAAAGATTGAAGAAGATTGTACAGTATAACGATTCAATCGACCTTGGTTGTTAGCGGTTACGAGCGAATATTGAGGTAGGATTATAAATTAATATTTTTGGCCATCGTATACTTCGTTACGGCGGAGGTGATCCTGGTGCTTTACAAGCAATAAAACGTATCGTCGTGCTTTGAAAATAGCCGAATATTACTTAGACGCAAAAAACGACTGACAGCCTAGAAACACAGCTAGAGGTACCAATAAGTATGTTTGTGGATGTATATAGCTAAGGACGTTCAAGGGTAAAGACTTAAAGTTGGGATGAATAGCTAATGCCAAAATTCGATGAATGTAAAAAAATCAGATCGACTGTAAAGCAAACTGTTACATTCCAATTTGTGACTTAGCGTCATTATAATACGGTGGTAATGAGCTTGCATTACAAGTAAGAATGTAAACAATGAACTGTAATCTGTGTACATTTTAATGATCGATTGGTTACAGAGATAAAAAAGTGCCACCATTGATAGTTTTGGCGACTTTCATTGTCCATAAAATGATACAGGTGCTGTTAACAAGTATCTTAGTATGCGGGCACATTGGAAGACGACTTTGGATACAAGTTAATTTAAGAATTCATGATCGACATATACGAGACTTTAAGAGAGATATACAAATGGAGTACTAAACAATTTCAGAAACGAATGCGTCGCGTCTGACGGCAACAGGTTAAACTATCTTTTTGCAAGCAGTTTAAGTGCTGCGACGCGTACAAAGTCGTTTTATCATCGGTTATAATTCTGCTATGTATAAAAAGATGCACGCGTCTTAACCATTAGTTTGCAATCTACAAGACAACAAAATAGACACAAAAATAACTATAAACAATTTAAAGCTCGCCAAATTCCTCGTAATGTATTTATAGATGCTGAATGACTTATAGCTATATATCAATGGTGTAGGACCGACATCGCAGAATTTATAGATCGAATACTAAAGCGATCTACAATGCCGTCAAAACGAACCGTAATATCCTTATACAGTGTGTGCTATAAGAGGTCGGTGCGAAGCTGCATGGATATGCAAAATCCATCCAGATGATTAGTTGATAAGAATTGAGGCAGAGCTTATATTTGCGTCATATGCTGTAGGTGACATATATTGCTTGCAGCAGTTATTGTATGAGCTATAGTTACGAGTGTTGATATCATACAAGTGTTATCGTAGAAACACACGCAAAAAAATATTTGAGGTTGCAAGAGCATTTTGATTGCAAACATGTAGACATACATAATAATTTATCTTTCATAACGTTCCTAAAGTAATTCTCGTGTCTGAATTTGTTAAGTTGGAGATTATGATGGCAGATACCCCATAGAAGTTGCTGTTGGCAATGACAAATAAAGAGCAACGAGCGGTATTTACTCGGAAGGTCATTTAGGATTAAGTCGTGGGGATTAATATAACATATGCTTCAGACACGTATTCGAAGTCCCGTAGGTGAAATGCAATTCATGTCATATATAAGGTCCGATCTCACGTATTCGTCTGCCAAAAGACAAGTTGACAATTGAAACAAAGATATTCGGTGCGCCGTATGGAATCAGCACCCAAAAGTAGCATGTTAAGGCGAAGAATTGGACTTAATTCGAAAGAGACATGAAATGATCGGTGGATTAAATGTACACCATGAGCAGATTGACCTAATTATATTGCATTTTTCAATCTAATTCGATATTTGTTCCAACCGACGCGATTAATTAAGGCTTGATGGTTAAACATATTATTATCCTATTCATTGCATCATAGCAAACTACATAAATTAATAATTTGCCGCTGCCAGCTGCTTGTACACCTTTTGCTCTGCACATCTGCTTCCAGGTAAATGTAAATAGTCTGTATATACTCACGAGAGCTGCTGACAGCCAACGGAGGCATTAACTTACGAATATTTGTAAGTTCCGCACTACGGTGGTGACGCATTGACCGAAGCCTCTCGTCCTTTGCTCTTAAGACATGGCAGCCCACGGTTTAAGTCTTGAGAAGCGACGTACACTCGATCTCCGTTTTGCGCGCAGACGTCCGCCATCATCTTGTCAATGCCACGTCCTCTGCCCATAGAAATTATCACTAATGCTTTTACGCGGAAGAGACTGGAAAGATAAAGGGAAGTATGGATCAATCAAGCGTCGCACGGAAAAATTATAGAAGGGTAGAGGGTTACGTATGGACTACCGTTGTGGGAACTATGTAAGTACACGAAGACGAGTAATTGGTAACACCACCCGAATGAGTTTTTAATGTGACGAAAAAGGGGTAGGAAAGTATTACCTACGTGAGCTTGTCGTACAAAAGCAAAACATGGCGGCGATGTTGTTCAGCTATCTGAGCTTGGCGCTTGTGCTTCCGTCGTTTCATGATCCGAGATGATTGATCACTCTGGTACTATATACAACATTTAATCTGGTAGCCACGTTTATAGTTTTCCCTTTTCATTTAATTTTTCACAGTTAGTAATGAAGAAAATAATATCGCGCAGCATTTTACTTCGACGCTGAATCATTCGGGCAAGAATCAACTATGATGACTATCAATGAGCCTACTAGGATATGATACTCATTCGCTGTATTTTTGTAGCTATCGTTAGTCGAATTTGAATCTCGATTAGTATTAAACCAATTTATTATTCCATTTGACACTTGGCTTGAAACCCCCATCGGCTAAGGTTAGTTGACAAACATTCGTAAACTACTTCGTGCATCACTAGTAGGTTTGACATAAAATGATAGATTAGAGCTTTACATGTTTTATAATATAAGTCCGTTTTAAAAAAAAGTGCTGCAACACTAACATTAAATCCTTCTGTGTACATGCATCATGTGCTTCCCCTGATCAATTGACTTAATTATCGACAAGCATACACATCACCTTAAAATAATATCTCTAGTAGCTTTCCCTGCGCGAGACAGCAGTAATAATGACTAGCATTCTTATAATAACACAATGTCAGATTTATGCATAGAGCGACCGACCAGTTCTATAATGCATATAATGTTGGTGATGACAATATGTCCTAGGCTTTGAAAATAACGAAACGTAGATAATATATCATAAATATACAATGTAACTCATTAGAAGATGCAATGTACAGTTTAATAAAGCATAAAATTCGAGTGTAAGTTGTATGTATGCATGTCTGCATGTACGTACAAGCATACATACATTCATACATGCATACGTACATAAAGTTCTGGTATTTTATGTAACGGGCTACCCCGTTACAAACGCTGCTTTTGTTGAATGATACACAAGCTTCATACATACATACATACATACATACATACATACATACATACATACATACATACATACATACATACATACATACATACATACATACATACATACATACATACATACATACATACATACATACATACATACATACATACATACATACATACATACATACATACATACATACATACATACATACATACATACACACAAACATACATACATACATACACGCAAACATACATACATACATACATACATACATACATACACAAGCTTCATACATACATACATACATACATACATACATACATACATACATACATACATACATACATACATACATACATACATACATACATACATACATACATACATACATACGTACATACATTTATATAGTACTTAACATCCATTGAGTTGATTCCATCATTCGTTCATTCATTTAATTTTACGACAGCATCTTTGCAATTTGTGGGGCTCGTGACAAGGCATCGAGTCGTCTAGACTCTTTTTGATCACCGTCTTGTGCTCCAAGTAGTTGCGCATACCCAGCTCCCCGTTCTCAAGACCAATGCTAGAGTCGTTAAGACCGACAAACGGCGCGTTCGCGTCGAATACGTCGTAGCAATTCACATACACTGTCCCTGCACGAGGTCCATTTGAGATCTTGATGGCGCAGTTGACGTTTGTGATCACGACGCCACCACCAAGGCCATACATGGAGTCGTTGGCACGCTTGATGACTTCGTCAATGGTCTTGAACTTCCGTATAGGTATGACCGGTCCAAAGATCTCCTCGCGAGCAACGACCATGTCGTGTTAGAAACTATCGTGTTTATCAGGTTTCAAGGTTCAAGTGCTATACCATGGTACGGTGTCACTTCATGGGATGATTACCGTACGACGTGACATGTGGGACCACGACGGGACGATCGACCAAATGGGACGTGTGGGACAGGATAATAGCTGGACAGTTGGGACTGTCAGAGACGGAAGTCATGTGACAGGATGTTACATGGGACAGGAAGAGACGAACACCATGTGTGACTTGACATGGTCAAGTTGCAGTTTCCGTTTCTGGTCATTCATATCGTAGTGTTGAAGGAGGTAGTTCTATACACTCAATATACATTACTTTTACTTCCTACTTCTACTGCGCAAGTGCGCCTACGCGCTAACAGGTTATATGCCCAGATAAACGTGACGACGGTGCGGCTAAACGATCTGCACACGTTGTGGTGGTCGGAGATCAAGGCAAGACCGGCGACGACCATTTGGATGAAAAGTCGACAGCGCCATTGGCGGCGATAATTCAAATGCTGGTTATGCTTAGGGACCTCTCCAAAAAAATGAATCGAACGGAGGTCTCTTAGATAGAGCAAGCCAACAAGCATTGGGAGGGCTCACCCGAGTCGGATGTCGCCAGTCTCGAGAGGGAGGTCAGGGCAGAATTAAAACTCCAGACCCTGGATCATACCACTCAGAAGGGACCTTTAAATGGGTCGCCAGCTACCTACTTCGGTGTTCGGCGACAACAACATACAGGTGTTGAGATACCCCTTGCAGGATAAGCATGTCCGGCAGTCGACATGGGTCAGGCACCCGACCCCGGTGTATACAGGGCGGGTTTACCTGCGGGATACCATCATGACATGGGTACCCCCAACCAAGGACATATGCACCCAGGGCATCCGAGAATCGACATGACAGACGCACAGCAACAAAAACTTGCGTCTCAACCTTTAGATGGAAAGGAGCTCTTCCACGGCCTTGGCTGTAGATTAACGGAGTGAAGGAAGGCATTTTTGTTCGACAAGTCGGATTTGCAGAACGTCCATGTGGCTTTGTGTGGCCGAACAACATCTAGGTTGATCTCCTAGGCCAGCATCTAGCTGGAAAAGCGCAGACCTACTATCGTCGTCAGGTGAAAACATGGTGGTTTGAGAGCCAAACTGTCAAAAACGCGATGCAGAGACTGTTACAGACCTTCACGACGAAGATCTCACCGTCACAGAGCATGAAGTTGTTCACGGCCCCAAGGCATCTCATCGAAACTGTACGGACCATTTTCTTTACTTAACGGTCGTCAGTGATGCCTGTGAGGGTCCAGAAAGTCTTGTGCTGGACAATGTCGTTCACAATGCTGACCCACACATGCGAACGACGATGTTGTCCAGATTGGAAATCCATCCCACTGACTAGCTGCGGCAAGCAGAAGAGTTGGCGCAATTTGCCCAATTGAAGGAGGTAGACACTCTTCACAGAATTTGGGCCGCGGTGTGATGAATGCTATCGAGCCTGAGAAGGAGTTTAAGAATAAGTCCAAATTAAGATCGTCGCCACCACGGATCGATCCCGGACTTGCTTCAGATGTGGAAAAGTAAACCATATTCGGTTGAGCTGCCAGAAATCGAGGAAGAAATCCTCGGGTGCGAACTTTATTTTTGCAGTTGGTAATGGTTCGAATATTTTGCCTGTTCAATGGATTCTCGACCGCGGTATGAGCAGGCACTTGGTCAATGATCCGAGGCTTCTTACAGACCCAATAGACTGTCGAAGTGAGTGCATGACGGCCGCCGAAGATGGCAGTGTACTACGGATCACCCTGCAAGGGACCGTGGACATCCAAGTTGTTACACTTGGAGTCGTGAATACAGAGAGAATCCTCAATGCTCAGTACGCGGAGAACCTCGAGCGTAACATCCTTTTGTACGTATTGCTTGAGGCCGAAGGTTGCGTGCTCGAATATCGAGGAGGGAGGCGCGTGTTGTCATCTGATATGGGTGGGACGCCCATCATGGATGTGAAATGTTGCAACAACGTTTTGGTTGTCGCTGGGACGAATCTCAGCGATCGCAATCCCAAGCCACAACGAGAGACAATGATGACTGTCATTAATCCACCTGAACATGAATCCGTCTTGGGCGTTCAGTTTGGAACCTTGATGGACTTTCATCGGCGCCTAGGACATCTTTGTTTCTACACGATTGTCAAGATGGCCAAAGATCCGACATCAGGTATACGATTGACAGATTCGATATGTCAAAAGTGTCTGGCCTGTGCCAAGGGGAAGCAGACCAAAGGAGTGCAGTCGAAGAGAGACACGGGCATTAATTCACGAATCGACGTGATCGGGGGTGTCATTTGTTCGGATCTCAAGGGTCCCATGACCCCCTGAGATCGTTTGGGAAATCAGTATATGGTCAATTCATTGACACCGATGAAGGTATTGTCGAGTGTTCTTGGCCAAAACTTTGGATGCAGCCGCGTTGAAGTTCAAGTTCTTCATGGCAAGCTTTGAGCGCGAGTTCAATTGCAAGATTCATGTTTTACGCACCGATGGAGGTGGCGCATATAAGACGCTTGGCCCTTTCTGCTCGTTGTAAGGCATCTTGTGTCAAGTAAGTGAGGCGGGAGATCAATCGAGCAACGGCAAGGCTGAACGGATGCACCAAACCATCATGATAATTGTGCGGGGCATGATCTTTGCATCAAAACTTCCGCTCCCGTTTTGAAGTGATGCTGCAGAGTACGCTTCGTACATAATGAACCGAATCAAGACCAAGTCCAACCCTGTAGGTGCATCGCCCATGAAGATTCTGACGAACAAGGCTCCCGGGCTTACATTCATCGTGGTTTTTGGGTCGTCGTGCACTGTGCACAAAGACTCGACAAACAAATCACTCGGTGAGCGAGGGAAGGCGGGCATCATCATAGGGAGAGGGAGCGAAACGAAGGTATACAAAGTGTACATGCGAGTGGATAAGGTGGTCGTGGTGACCCAACACGTTCAAACCGTTGAAGCACCACAGAATGACCAAGATGAAAGAAAGACTTATCCTGACCCGATACGACTTCAGGAGGAGCCAGGAAATGATCGTCAAGCGGGTGCACGAGATCGTCGAGACGGTGTGAAGGGCAGGAAGAAGGTTCGAAAAGGCCGAAAGCAGATATTGACCAGATAGAGCCATGGCACACGGTCGAAAATGTTGAGTCAAACAAAATGGCCGAAGCCGATACCTCGGTGGACAGTTGCGACGTTGGGAATTAAGTCATCGAGCAAGATCCGAAACACTACGGTGAGGCGATAAAGCGTAAGCATCGCCACCAATGGCACGTGGCCATGACCGACGAACTGGACGAACTCAAGTCAAATGACGTCTGGGAGATCGTCGTGCCACCAGGAAATGCACATGCTCTACACAACAAATGGGTCTTCGAAACAACGACCGACGCGAACGGGGACATCGAGCGTTACAAGGCTCTTTTGGTCGTTTGCAGAAACGATAAAGTGTTCTGAGTGAACTATACCCTCAAGTTCGCAGCGGTCATGAACTTGAGGACGGTAAAGCTGATCCTGGTGCTTTAGAGACGCTGGAAGGTACCAGCGCGCCACGGTGATGTACCCAATGCGTACGTCAAGGCTGAAAAGGAGGAGCACTTGGATATTTACATGAAGGTGTCGAAGAAGATGACAGTGAAAGAGAAAGAGATGAAGGGTGGAACGCGAAGACCCCAAATGACCTAGCGTTGCTGTTAAAGCAGTCACTATATGGACTATAACAGGCTGGGCTGCTGTGGAGAAAATTACTTGACTCCAAGATACGACAAAGCGGGTATAACTAATGTACCACTGACATGTGCCTATACGTCAAGTACAAGGTCAAGGCATGCACGGTAATCGGTATCTACGTGGACGATCTGTTGGTCACGGGCACCGAACCGAGCGCTGTGGACGACTTCTTTAAAGACACGACCTCACTATCGATCAAGGATTTGGGGATTGTAAACAAGTTCCACGGGATACGGATAGAGCTTGGCGACTCGAATGGCTATGTTTCAGATCAAGAACGGACTATCGATTTGTTGTTGAGGGACTTCGGGATGGAGTCATCCAATGGAGTTCGCACCCCTATCGGAGACAAGTGCAACATGGATGACGAAGAGTACGCTGAGTACCCACCAGCAAGAGGAGCGAAATGGGACCCCAGTGAGAAGTCCTTCTAGTCACTGGTGGGAAGCTTGCTATGGATTGCAATATGCACACGCCCAGACATTTGTTTTGCAGTGCACAAGGCAACAAGACAGACTCACAAGCCGACACTTAAGTATTGGAAGACCGCGAAACGCATCATGCGATACCTGAAGATGTCCAAGGATTTGAAGCTGCACCTTAATGGTGATGGACATACGCCAGAAGATGTGCGGGTCGAGTGCTAGAGAGACGCTGATTTTGCTGCGAGCAAGGTCGACCGTAAGTCAATATCAGGGTGTGTGATCACTGTGGACGGTGCTGTGGTTCTGTGGCTGTGCAAGAAGAAATCGGGTGTATCGCTGAGCACGATGGAGGCTCAGTTTATCTCAGCGTCGCAAGCTGGTCGATAGCTGCTTGGCACGAAAGAACTACTGAGCGAGTTGAAGCTACGCGTACGTGAGCCCATGCCGATGTGGAACGACAAATAAGCGGCGATTAAGGAACTCGAGTCAGAAAGAGAATCTCGAGCGCCAAGCACGTGGACATATGTCACAAGGTTATATTCCATCACCCATAGAAAGGAGCTGTGGTGCCAAGGTTTGTGCGATCTCAGGACATGCTAGCCGCCATACTGACGAAGCCGTTGCCGTCTAAAAGGATGGAGCAGTTGAGATCCCTGCTCAAATCGACGGTCACATAGGCTAACACCGAGAAGGAGTGTTAGAAACTATCGTGTTTGACAGGTTTCAAGGTTCGAGTGCTATACCATGGGACGGTGTCACCTGATTCGCTGATTACCGTACGACGTGACATGTGGGACCACGACGGGACGATCGAC